TGGGGTTGGGGAGGCTGCGAGGGCTTATGAAAATTCTAATTTTGGCTGGGTGCAGTGGCTCATGCCTGTAATCCCAGCACTTTTGGAGGTGGAAGCAGGTGGATCACCTGAGGTCAGGAGTTCAAGACCAGCCTGGCCAACATGGTGAAACCCTGTCTCTACTAAAAATACAAAAAATTAGCCAGGCGTGGTGATACATACCTGTAATCCCAGCTACTCAGGAGGCTAAGGCATGAAAATTGCTTGAACTTGGGAGGCAGAGGTTGCAGTGAGCTGAGATCATGCCACTGTATTCCAGCATGGGTGACAGAGCAAGGCTCCATCTCAAAAAAAAAAAGAAAGGAAAAAAGGACACTAGTCCTATAGGATTAGGGTCCCATTCTTATGACTTCATTTAACCTTAATCACTTCTTTAAAGGCCTTATTTCCAAATACAGTCACATTAGGGGTTAGAGCGCCAACATATGAATTTGACATAAGTCAGTCAACAACAGGTACCATCTGTATTCTATTTCTTTCTTCACTCTCCCCACCGCCACGCTGTCTCTATTCTCAGGCAGGAGTATTATAGATGCATTTCCATTACTTATGAACATGTACACATTTGTTAAAGGGTTAGATGCATTCAAGTTGGGCATCAAGCCTCAGGCCAGGAAAGAACTTTAGTCTCTACCACTAGGCAAAGTCATAGAGCTCAGGAGAGAAAAAGAGTTAGAATTCCCAGGTTATACAGATCAGAAAGCAAGCAGCAGGATAATGAGATGAGATTATAATTTTAAATCCAGAGATAGAAAAGTAAAGGAAGTTTCTTTCATTTTCCTGTCATGCATATGACCCTTTCTTTATTCAACAGTATCAAAAAGATAGGCTGGGTACGGTGGTTCACACCTGCAATCCCAATGCTTTAGGGGGCTGAGGTGGGAGGACTGCTTGAGGTTAGGAGTTTGAGACCAGGCTGGGCAACGTGGTAAGACCCCATCTCTACTAAAACATACAAAATAAGCCAGGTGTGGGGGTGTGCACCTGTAGTCCCAGCTACTTGAAAGGCTGAGGTGGGAGGAGATCACTTGAGCCCAGGAGGTTGAGAATACAGTGGACTATGATTATACCACTGCAACCCAGCCTGGGTAAGAGAGTGAGACCCTCATCTCCAAAAAATATATATATCTATCTATATATATATACACACACACACATAAGATAACTGAAGAGAAATGCCATTTTCTTGTTATGAAGTCTCCTCAAGTTTCTCACGGACATTTATTTGGATGGGCACAGCCTACCTCCCAGAGTAAACTTTGGGCCTCTCTCTCAAGTAGGCATCTCCGACGCCCTAGAATCCATCCCAGTGATCTGGCATTGGGTAAAGAAGGGGTGCTGCCTGGAGTGCTGCCAGAAGACCACAGCATCACCCCAAAGCTCCAGGCCAAAACCCTCCATCACAGGCTGGTGTCGACCAGCTGCCCAGGCTGTTGTAGCACCTGCTTCCTCCTGTTTATAGCATTCAGAACTTTCTTCCTGGGACCCAGCTGCATTTGTATGCTCTGAAGGTCCTCATCAGAGCAGAGCAGCAGAGCTTCTAGATCAATCTGCTCTCTCTTAAAGATAGGCAGGAATTCTTCCAGGTGCTGAGACAGCAAGAACACTTCCAGGGGCGTGGCGTCGACCACATCTTCCTCCCACTCCACTTCATCCTCACCCCATGGCAGATCATCTTTGAGGCCGTTTTCCTCTTCCTCTTCATCAGCTGCACCCTCATCAGCCTCTGATGTTCCTTGTGTTTGAAACAATTCACTGGGCAGTTTAAAACCCAACTCCCTCTTGCTATCTGAGATGTCTTCAGGACTCAATATCCTGTTCCTTCTAAAAACAATACTTCCTAGACCTGGACGATTGAGAATGGATTCATGGTGCACACTGCTGTCCTCCTCTGCTGACAACTGGAGCTTCTCTTTGAAGTCCCCTGGGAACGAGTCTTCCTCTTCCTCTCTGAACACTTCCATCACGTTCCTCTGCCCACTTCTGCCTTCCTTCCCCACCTGTTCTGCTGTATCTTTGTTCTTTTTGAACTTGATCTTGAAAGTATCTTTAATGCCCTTAGATAGTGACCCGAATGTGCCAGGAGCAGAAGCATTTGAAGGGAATGACCTGGAGAAGGTACCCTTGGAAGAAGAGAGAGTCCCAGACTCCTCCTTGCTGTAGGTGTGGGCCATCTTATTTTGGTGCTTCTCCTGGAGCCTCTCACACTCTTTGATCTGCCTCCTGGCATTCTTCTGAGCCTGCTCCTTCAGCCTGGTGACCTTCTTGGGGTTCATGATATTCTGCGCAGTGGCAGCCTTGTCCAAGAGAGCAACACATTCATTCTGCTCTCTGCTGGCAGCAGCATCCAGCGGAGTCTGTAAGTCATTATCCAGGGCAAAGATGTTGGCACCAAAGTTGACCAGGAATGAGACGCAGTGGGCATGGCCATTGGAGGCTGCAAAATGTAGAGGAGTGTTTCCCCAGATGTCACACCTATCAGGGTCCCCTCTAGAAGAGAAAATACAAAAAAGTAAATAAACAACATGTTGGACATTTTTTTCTGAATTGGGCTCCAAAAATTCAAAACAAAAATAAAGAACAAAAGGCATGTTAATGCAAACATGTTCATCCCGACTTGACATTGTTATAAGATACTGGCTGCAAGTCCAGCTATCTTAGAACCATCCCATCTTAAAACCACATGGCCAGAAACAGAGTCCATCTCTACCCTGTGTCTCCTTTTTGTTTGTTTCTTTTGTTTTGTTTTGAGACAGGTTCTCACTCTATCTCCCAGGCTGGAGTGGAGTGGTGTGATCACAGCTTATTGGCAGCCTTGACCTCCCAGACTCAGTTTATTCTCCCCACTGAGCCTCCCGAATAGCTGAGACTACAGGCATGCACCATCACACCTGGCTAATTTTTTGTAGAGACAGGGTTTCACCATGTTGCCAGGCTAGTTGCAAACTCCTGGACTCAAGCCATCTGCTCACCTTGGTGTCCCAAAGTGTTGGGATCACAGGTGTAAGCCACCACACCCGGCTGTGTCTCCTTTTTAGAAGCAAGAAAAACTTTCTAAGAAATTCTCCAGCCAAACAACTTTCTTGTCTCATTGGCCAGCACTGGGTCACATGCCTAAGAGATGTGAAACATAGTACTGTGTTTAACTTAGATCAACTGGATTTTGCCCTGAAACTAGGCATAGGATTGTTCAATGGCTCCTCAAGAAAATAATAAAATCAAAATCCTAATTTGTAGCATGTGCCAATTTCTGTGGTGTAAATACATCCACCATGGCAGATTTCAAGCTACCAATGTGACATCGCTAGACACAGAGTTTGGAAGAGATCCACAGTAGCATACCATTATCAACCATTTCCACCAGGTAGATATAATGGACATGAATTACCTTAAGAGATAGGTAAGAGTGAAAGGTATTAAAATAAGTAGAGACTTTTGTGTAAACTTTTTAATATAATTTGTTAAATTAAAGGTTAAATTTTTTTTTTTTTTTTTT